AGCGCACAATATAGGCACGTGCTATGAGTGACGCAGACAGTACACACAAACACGAACACATGCTGAAATGAGTGCTGTGCCTGCCTGTGATGAGGAGATTGTGAATAAAGAATGAATATTAGTCTAATTTAAAATAAAAATTTGCATTTGAATGTTAGGTGAGAAACTGTAGTTTCTGTTACTAACTGAGACTTGTCATGGCACTTGCATACTGTTGTTCTCTCTTTGGTCTGATTGCTTCTATTGTTCTCATTTGTAAGTTGCTTTGGATAAAAGCATCTGCTAAATGATTAAATGTATATGTAAATGTTAGGTGTGTATCAGGGAGCGTCATCAGTGGCGCGTGAGATGCGGTGAGTGACGTGAGTGACGTTGTTGCATTTTAATGTTTTGTTAGTCTAGCCCACGAGATGCGCCGCTGCTGTGTTATTCATTCAAAATATTAGAGAAATATAGAAGCTCAATGCGGAGAAGATCTTGATTAGGTTAAAACCGAAACCAAGCCATTCACACAGAACGCATATTCAGCGCATTTTCTAGACGGACAAATACGACTGCTGCACTCGCGTCTCACACAAGAGATGTATAGAAAGCCATGCAAAGTTAAAACAATTTAAACGTTTAGAAAACACGTCACGAATTTGAGGAGGTTTATTCCTTTTCACGCCGTCTCATGTTTTTAAATGCAATCTGTGTGAATGGCGCTTCGGTTCTTTGGATTAAGCAATGCGTAAATACATGATGCTATTTTGTTCATAATTGTTTATGCTATTTACAAAATTATATTAGATTTTTATGAGTTAATTTAGACGTAATGCACGTTTTTTTGTATAGAGTTACTTCCTTGCATTGACAATTTAAATGCACTGCATTATTTTGCTCATTGCACCCTCCTGTGGCCTCGGGAGACAAGCCAAAAGTTTCCTTAAGACTTATTTAATCTGCATATAAAACATTAGAAATTAGATATTTAATTTTTATTTTGGGTTTGATTGTTAAAACAAAAAATATTTGTCGTTTGTCAATAAATTGGGATAATTAAAAAATACAGTGGTTAAATTAAATTTTTTTTATTGCTCTTTGTTTTAAAAAAGGTTATAAAAAATGTCAATAATTATCGATACCGAACAATATGAAACATTATATTGCTGATACATTTTTTAGCTATATCGCCCAGCCCTAACTACACTTTTTACATGCTGTTTTTCACCTACTATAAACTGCAAGACTATTTCATGTCCTGAATGTAAGAGACTGAGTTAGATGGGCGAGTGCGAATGTGTCTCCTGTCGTTCTGATTAAGAGATGATTAACGACAACAGAACAGCTGAGAGCTGCCACTCAAAATCCCCCAGCGAGGACTGACAGCTCCATCACATCAAAAACAAGCATCGGACAAATAAGACTCTCATACATCAACCAAGAACCAAAACAAACCTTATTTTTCATGTAATGCTTGCTTTTCTTTCTTCACATGCAGTAGCACATGCTAACAAAAACACTCACACAGTTTCCATCACGCCGTCTTTACATCATGATTCAAAATTACAGTGTAATTTGTGGTGCTGATCAAAGACAGTACTTGTCCTCTTCATGTGTCTGACAAAGGGATGAGGGTTATTGTCATTCAGGCTGTTCTTTCGGCCTGCTACTCCAGACATCCCACGAGACACTGGCATGGAATAAAACTAAGATATCTCAGTAAAAATCCTTTGATCTCAGACAAAGTGACAGCTACACTGCTCATTAAAGATCACGGACAACTGTACTGTGACATGCTGTGTGAGACGGCTGACAGTTTTATGACTACACTGTGTACAGACGATTCAATCATGACCAGATGTGTGACATCTTTTTCATTCTATCTTTGGCCTTTATGCCACTTTTGTTGACAGGTGTTGTGTAGAGATGACAGGAAATGATGGCGAATGGAGGGAAATGACAAAAAACAAACCTGAACTCACATTAGACACATAACCAGCACAATTCAGCGTGTATGTGGTAACACAGGCTACGGCAAGGTAAGAAAATATGAATGGAGGATTTTTCAACACTCAATAAGGCAGTTTTAGGAAAGGAAATCACACTTTTAAACAAAAAGAGCTAGTTATCAAGTTGTGTGTGTGTGTGTGTGTGTAGTATATGCATTCACAATAGCTTTAAGAATAGCTTTATGAACAATTATTATTTATATTATATATATTATATTTTGTATAATAGTGTTAAACTTTCATATCTTTTTTCAAAAATTATGATTTAAAAACAAACAAATTAAAACTACAGAAATCTACATAATACACAATACATAATAAGACTACAAATTATATCAGCATTACAATTTAAATAAAAAAAACCCCTGAAGTTTCAATTACAGAATTTTGTAGTATTTTGTGTTTTTTAAACAGGGTTCTAGTGACTAGATTAGGAATTTAAAAAAGGTCACACCAGTACTTAGTTACAGTAATTTATAGCCAATGAAAAATAAAATAAAATTAAATACAATTAAATTCCAGGAATAGAAATCCTACTTCACAAGTTTGTGTAAACGTGATGTACAATTGTACAAATGCTGGAGAACATGATCATCAGGTGAGATGCTCTTGGCTCCATTGAAGCATAAAACGCTTTCTGGAGTTCACAAGGTCAAATCCGCATATATTATTGGTAGCCTAGAAATTTCCTTAAACTTTCCCAGATTTTTTTTTTTACATGGTCTCACACTTCTGGACCCCACAACAAGTTATGTGTGGAGAAAAAACTAGCAAAAAAAACCCTAATTCACTAATAAATGGATGTATAATCTCAAGAGGGATGAGAGGCACAACATAACAGTTTGTGGGTTATACTGGGTGTAAGAGAAGCTTCTCTCCCTCTCCATTTCTACTCCAGGCTGTTGTTTCTTACCCACCATAATGAATAATGTATAAAGAGCTCCAAACTGCTGCTCTGCCTCCCACTCCAACTCCAAAAAATGCACTTACAAACATAGTTAACACCACCCTGCACAACACACACACACACACACACACAGATACACTCACAACTGATTGCTGGCAGTCTGACCCCATCCAAGTGGGAGGAAATGAGAAAGGAGATGAATTGCTTTGAGTGTAACTCCATCACTGCAGGCACCAAACTGAAGGTTACAATGTTCTGAATCGGACAGCGATATTGAACTGACCTCTGTAAGACAGGTTAGGGTGTTACGCTACAGGTTAACCTTTCAAACACACACAAACACACTTACATATGCATTCACAGCATACACAAACACTCTATTAGGTAAATGCGAACATGTCATCTTTAAACCCCGATCAATGCACTACAAAAAAGGTTTTCATATATTTGCCACAGTGTTGTTACTGTTAACTGAAACAAAAAAATTGCTAATTGAAATAAAGTTGAAATAAAAATATAAAATAAATATAAATACAAATATTAAATAAAACATTGCCTTGGCAAATAGCTAATAAAATTTAAGTTGAAGTACTAAAACTATATATAAAATCACCGCCAATGAGTTTATGGAAATTGCATTTTAAACATTTCTGGATTAATTTTGCTGATTCATTTGTTTTGCTAAGACTTAAAATCTAGCATTTTATGCATGCTAAATGCACAAAATTACAAAAATTAATTTATGGATTTTAGATTTTTCAATTCAATTTTCTAATTTATCAGTTCTATGCATAACTGATATTTAAATATTATTTTTAAATACTTTGCACTTGTTTCTATGTCTAACTTAATCTTAAAAGCAAAATTGTTGGTATAAATAAAACATAGAAATATAAAAAATTGTTAATTTAATAAATAATTAAATAATTTTAATAAGTATTTAAAAACATATTAATTGTTTAAAATTAAAATGAAAACTGAAAATATAAAAATAAAAACGAATTCAAAAAAAATATATATAGATATATATATATATATATATATACATATATACACAGTATATATACTATAAAAGTACATAAAACTAAAATAACACTGACTTGCCAATGGAAAACCCACATTAATTTGATATTCAACATTCTGATAAAGAAAATCATCTTTGCAGCATGCCAGTGGTCACAAGAGTAAAGGAGGAACTGGATTTCTTGAGCAGTCTGTATTGCCCTCTAGACAGAGCCAACATGGCTTTTTTTGCAGTGGCAGAGCCACAGATTCTTTCAGCAGGGGCGTTTTGGAAACTCCGTTTGGCACAGAGCAGTGTGCTATCAGAGCGTGCAGGCAAGCACACGTCACTCCCTCAGGAAATCTTTCTGTGAATAAATGCGTAAGTCTCTCTCTCATCCTCAGTCGTCTCATTATTGTCTGGAGAATTCCTTCTATTGGCTCTGCAGTCTTTGGCTCGCGCCACTGCAGCGACTACATCCGGCTAATCGTGGTGCTTCTGTTAAATACTTACAGTATCATCCACTTAAAGGACAGTTGTGTGTGAAAGAGTAGAACGGGTGCAAATAACAAAACAAAAAAAAGATTCAGAGTGTGTTTTCTTTCAATACAGCCAGTTAGCAATGTTTTTGACAACTGGCAGTGAAACACTGCTGACTGTAGAGAGAGAAATACAGGGTTGCAATAGTCTGGCAGGGTGAAATGAGTTCTTGCCCTCAGCAATGGCAGTGGAGAACGTGACCAAATAGTCAAGTCATGCATGATAACGCACAAACATATATACATACGCCACTGCTATATCACTGCAGTCTCGCAGAGCATGAGTTGCCTCCAGGTTTGAGATAACCTTGCAGTTAGGGAGAAAGTGTGTGTGCGTATTACAGTTTACACACATCCATTGCAGGGCTCTGTGAGGATAAGGAGTCAAGCTCTTCATCAATGCAGCACAAAAGTACATACTTTGAATTAAACATATTCAACCATTAAAACATTGTTGAACATACTCAAAATTCATTATATGACATGATACATTATGCACTGACAAAGTTGTAGATATTCCAAAATGACTAAATGTTTTTTCCACCACATTATACACCCCAAAATGTGGCCAAAAAGCTGCATACGTACACAGCACATTCCACACACGCACACATTTACAATCCGCTTCCAAGAAATAAATAAAGAAAAAAATATTCTGAACTAAACAAACAAATGGTTGTACACATTACCCAGTATGCCTCACCAGCTGGGCAGGTTGATAGAGTTGCTATTATCATTTATATTATCGCAGGGAGAGCGGGAAGGATAGAATAGAGGGAGGGAAAGAGGGAGGATGTGGAAGAGGGGATTTCTGTCGGCCTGCTGGGAGGGTGAGATAGAGGAGCAGGGACTGAAGCCTGCAAGACATATACATTTCCATCTAACGAATGATATTACAACACACTACGTACACCTGGGACAGAGAGACGGGGGAATGAAAGGAAGCAGGAAGGGAAGAGGAAGCGGAGGTGGAGGGGGAGAGGAAGAGAGGGAACGAGAAAGCGTGGTGAATGGTGAGGAAAAGGAGATAAATGGGAGAAAAATGCTTTTAAAAAAAGAAGAAAAAGAGCAAAGAAAGAGTGCAGGAACAGCAAACAGAGACGGAAGGCAGAAAAAGGCGAATAAATGAATCAGATTTGCCAATAGTAATAGCACTGAATTTCAAATTCTTTACCTCAGAATTATGTGTCCCTAAAGATACAATGTGTAATTTCTGCATTATTTCCAACACCAAGATACAAAAACAATGAATGTTTTCACACAGGTTTACATTTGAAAAAAGTAATCAACCATTGGCTGGTCTAACAGATAGCCCCGCCCCCAACCCATGTCATTGGTTGGAGTGAGTGTTGCGCAAACAAACAGAGCAAGGTTTTTAAAGCTCTACAGAGCCACTAAATTCAGGGTTGCCACAGCATATTAGAAGAAAGTATTAGTATAAATTAGCATATTAACAATTATTACATTAGTATATAGTAGAAGAAAGTAGGATAGAAGAAAGTTTTAAACAGTAAATAATTAAAGGGGAAGCGTGTTTATTTATTTATTTATCTATCTATCTGAACATTCTACACAAAAACACCCCTGAAGATGTAAGCAGAAACATTCTATGTTAGAAGCTTATTATTCACCTATCTTATAAATAAAGAGGAAATGGGGAGGGGGGGGAATGAAAAAGGGAAAAACACAGAGAGAGGGGGCTGACAGAAATATAAGGAGCTTCATTTTCCAGACACAAAGCAGCAACAATGCTGTAAGCTACAGACAGAGCGTAAAACAAGCCGACAGCACAGGCAGACAACACACTAAGCTGTAAGAGTTCATGTGAAGTGCAGCAAAGTTAGACTGAATTGAGAAGTAAGAAAACGAGCTCTGTGTAAAAGAAATGCACACGCACACATACACATAAAAAAGCATTTATGCAGCACTGACTGCAAAGAAAAGAACCAGAGACGGGGTGGTCTGGCAGATAGCAAACCGTCTCCCCCAGAGATGACAGACAGCTGTCAATCAAAGCATTAGGCCATCGGTCTCATCACAAGATTGCCGGAGCAGTGGGAGTGGAGACAGAGCAACTCATCAACCCCCTACAGCAACACACACACACACACACACACACACACACACACACACACACAAAGCGTCCTGAACAACTCATACACACATTCTGCATGCATAATAACCCGTCAAAAATGCAATTTTGAGCTATTTATTACACAGA